CTTCTCCAAAGTTTCAGATTTCTATTTTTATTTTTCATTTGAAGTGATGCACTCATTGTACTGGAAATGCTTCTTTTTCAGCCCCCTCGTCCTGTTTCGTACTATCCAGTTGAGGATAGCGATGATTCGGATAACTTGCGAACGAAACGAAAAGCGACCTCCTTTCTGAATGTCCACAACAAATTCGATAACACAGGTGAAGCAAAGCGCTTATGAACAACAATTTTTTACCATGACTGTAACCTGAATTGTTTTAGCTGCGAAATTCAACAAGAAAGGTTTTTCAGAGAATCTTCTACGTGTAGAGCGGGAAACCAAACTGAGACATGACAAGGAGAATCTTGAAGCAGAAATCGAAGAGCTGAAGGTGACTGTAAAGATCCTTTTCGATTTAGTTTACTCCTAAGTTGTAGCATTTCTACCCTGCGATGCCAAATAGCCAAGGCATCGCCAGTAGCCCACTTTCAACAAGTACCATAATTCCGCGATATTGGCAATTTCCCCATCTTCTTCCGCGTCAAGAATGGCCCATGAAGTAAGGTACTAAGGGAGCTTCCTCGTAGTAGTAAAGAAGGTCTGGAAATACCCATTACTGAGGAAAACGTACGCATCATCTCATACCATGAGAAATGGTGCAGGACCCAGTAGCCAGCCGATGGGCGTGCGGCACCATCGGCTGGCTACTGGGTTCTAGCGCCACAGGGAGGGCCATACTAGGTCGCCAGGAGCATATACTTGCTCCCAATTGCGCATTCGGCTCGCATCCCTGATGTATTCCCCTTCTTTCCACTAGGTAAGTTTTCTCTATTTTGACTTTCGACCCCATAGTGGAATCCTCCTTTGAATTTCGCAACTACGAAACGGTGATCACGTTTGATACTTCATTATGGTAGCCCTGATGAGAGGGTTCTTTATCTCCATTATCATTAAAATTGAAGTGCCTCTCCAGTTTGCGTTTGTGTGGAGCGTTCTGCGGATTTACGCGCTGTTTTGAGTTACACTTTCGAATGTAGCGTGGCATAGCTGGAATGTAGTGCCACGCTTTCTGTACTAGGAATGTATAGAGAGCTTTTGTTATCAAATCTCTCCCCCTGAAATCAAATAACCTGCCATATTAAATGCCTAGAAAGTCAACAATGGCCACCTCCTACATGCTAATACAAAGCGTCAATTACAAGGCATCAAATCGCGTTTCTTTGTTGTCGAGCACGCCTTGAATGCGCCTAACTCTAACGCATTTCCTAACCGAACGGACTTGTTACACGGGAACAAATTGAATCTACAAATGAACAATGAACCCCTAAAAATATGAATCTTAGGCAAAATTATTCAAAGAAATTATTCATTCCCATGTCCCTTTCAGATGCGCAATCAACGGCTTGTCGAGCAGCTGAGAGAGAAAAGTGCTCAGTTCAGCAAACTTCAATTTCATGCTCATAAACTCGACGAACAGGGGAGAGCCCACAAAAATGGCATTTTTAAATGATTGGTCAAAGAGAGTATCTGCAGATTGAGTCTCTCTCACAACGATGCGCTCTTAATGCAGACGCCACATTCGAGAAAGCTGACGCTTGAGGAGCGATTTGTGAGAGGATCACTAATGGCCATGGAAAAGGTGATCCTGCATGCAATGTTTCTTGGACGCTAGCGATATTTATCCTTGTTTCCTTCAATTTAAGAAATTCTCAAAAAACGTAGCCTAGCTCGAAAAATACGTGAAATTAATACAAACAGTTTTTTGAAAATTCCGCATTTCCGTAATAACTTCGTATAGGGAGACAGTGAAATTCCTCATAATTTTGGCCCTCCGTGCTTGATGTGTGGGGCAGGGTCAACCCTATCGTTGTTACTCTTCGGAAATTTTTTACGACCCCCCCCCTTCATGGGTGATTTGATACGACCCCCCCCTTGTATGTGACACTTGTGTAGAGACAGTGTTTACCATCAATATTTATTTCTACGTAAGTCATCAAAGATGAAACTTTAGCAAAATCCACGACAGATATTCATCGCTGCTTGCAAACACGAAAAAATGAGATGCATTCAAAGATATCCGTGTACTCCAAAGGGTTACCAAACTAGGAGATGAAATAAACTGAACCAGTGACCGTAATATTGACAACATTACCTGATAAAAACTTATAAGAAGTCAGAAAAAATTATCGCTCCAATTGAAATACTGAAATCCTTCACGTTCTTCAATTGCAACACAATTTTTACACCCCTCTTTCTAAGGCTATAACTTCCTTCATATTCGAGCTTCTGCGCCGAAGTGATTTGATTTGGAAAATTCAAATTATTCTCTCTCCAACCATGGGTAAAAATTCTTCGAAAGTTAATTTAATAAAAATTTAGTACGTTGTTACTTTTTTCTGTGCAAAGCGACTTTTTGACCTTCAAATGATCATAACTTCTTTCAAAGTCACTCATTTGGGAAGCTGAACACGTATAATAAACTACAGGTTTCAAGCTTTCTAACGAGCACCCAAGCGTTTCTGAAAGATCAGCAGTTCAAAAATTAGTCCCGTTGTTACTTTTTATTTTGAGGGGTATTCTTCAAGCCATTTTCTCGAAAACGCGAGTTTTCTTAGGTTTCACTGCCCGTAACTTCTTGGAAGACCAATTTTATGTTTAATTAAGGATGTGCTAGAAAGCTCCGAGCATGCGCTTGCACTACATCCCTTGCCTTGGTGCGCGCCACGCCTCGGGCGCCCTTCTAATTCGCTGATTCATTTGAAAGCTCATTTAGAGGGAATCGTGGTTTATAGATGCTGTATCAGTCATCTTACGAAAACGTAACGTGCTGGCTATTATCCGATATTACCAAGAATCCCACTGTCGGCCACCGAGAGGGTACGACCCCCCTCCCTCCAAGCTCAACTGAGTACGACCCCCCGTTGTTACTCGTAACAACGTAGGGTTGACCCTGGTGGGAATCCCCCCAGTGGTTCTTACCTGACATATCCTTTTATCAAGAACTTATGGAGTCAGCGCCTGTAAAGGTGGATGATGAGCACACTGGGTGATCCATGAACTCAGAGGGGGACCATTGAAATCCGGGGTCAATTATTGTTCATTTTTATTGTTTGTTTATAAAGTTGTGCTTGAGGCAAGCACAATGTACACGAAGTTATGCACCTGTGACAAAATTATGCCAAGCTAATGGAAACCAAACATTAAAATCTCAACAGTTCTCTCGCTTGGGCCTAATTATGGTTTCAAATCACAGTTACGGATAATTTTTACTGTAGATTGAAGATCGCCTGCGACAATTTCAACGTCAAGTACAAAGTGCTAAGCTGGACGTCGCCAACGCGCAGCAGAAGGTTTGTTCCTCTACCTAACGGTTAATAGCTCTAAATTTGTATAATCCGCAGAAAATTGCAAGGTTGCAAATGTCAGGACCGTGGTGGTAGTGGTAACAAGACGGGCAGATAGTAACTTGTTCGGCCTTGACAGGGCCTAGAAAGGAAGGAAGGACAGAATAGAAGAAAATTGGACTCAATTTAAATAGTCTATTCTCTATGGGATTTCCATTTCAGACAATGAACAATATTGCGCATGAACGTAGCGCTCATCAGGCTTGTCTGGATCGCCTTGAGGATCTACAACGAGAGAACTTTGCTCTAATGCAAAGCAGATATTTGGGTGAGTTCAGGAGAAAATGATTGCTTTGTTTATTTCCTTCGTGATCCAATGTTCTGAAATGAAAGGAAGATGGAAATTAGTGATAGGTAAGAAAATCTCTGCCGCTTCCATTGCGGGCGCTTTACAACGATCCTCACGTAGTACGAGACCTACAGACATCAGTTCTATCGTCTCAAGAGCAAATTTCTTCCAGCACTAATGGGAGGTAGAAGTTTCCCATTGGCGGTCCCTCTGTAACTGTCCGGAATTTTCTCCACTGATTTCTGCAAGGCAATGTATCCTTTTATCAACAACTTATGGACAACATAATTTGGTTCCTCCCCTTCCCCGAAGGAAGACAAAAATGTCCAACGGGGGAGGGGGGAAAGAAGCTCGAGTAGGAGGCCTCAAAGAGCAGCGGTCTGCCAACACTGCAAGTCGCTGCGATTATGGACACCAACACACGGCTTCAGCGTGATGGGTCAGCAGGTGATACCAGGCGCACCTTCGCTTAGGGGCTTGGCCCACCAATGACGGTCATTGACGTCAAACCACAGCGGTCTACAACCATCATGATTACTGCCTTCAAGGTGCAACGTTATTGGAAGCCTGAACCCCTACCACTAACGATACACACTATAGTACCAGTTAGCTACCATGGCTGTCTGTAAAATGTGGCGTGGTATTCGAAATAAGCTGCCAGTCTGAAGTTTCTTTTCACGACCATCACATGGCAAATGGTAGAGCTCACAAATTTTGAAAAATGCTTGTTCATCCCTAATCTCCATGCACTGTTCTGTTTATTACCTTTTCCTAATAACTTTAGAATCCGGTTGTGATGACAGTGTTTGGCAACGAAAAATCGATGCATTGCCGGCATATGAAGCTCTGTACAGCTTTGCACAACATGCCGTTCGTAAGTACTCCGATCTTCGGTGGATGTTATTGGAAAGAGAGCGAGAAGCGAGTCGGGCCGAGCTTGACCTCATCGCTGCACAATCGTCGTTGCTTGTCACACATGCTCAGGTGGAGATCGTTTTTTTTCGGGCGAAGACCCACTTTTTATGTTCAAGTGATCTTTTTTGAAAATCCTCTTCAGAATGAACGATTCCGAATCAAGCTCGGAGAAAAGCGACCCAAGCGACCGGCCTCATTTCACGGAGAAGATTTGTTAAACAGAGTGGTACGATTTTTCTCGTGTCTCACTGTTTTGTGGTCCATGCTTCAAATTATTCGGTCAGACCATTTCAGAGCACAGAGTGCTTCTATTTTAGGTGAAACGAGACATGAACTTCTTCCTTCCGTTCAAGATGCAAGGCTCTCGAGTGGAAAATTCTAGACGAATTCTAAACAAGAAATCGCTTGATAACGAAAAAGACCTTGAAAGCGAATTCTTCGCCGTATTCGGTGATAGGAAGAAGTAAGTCGTGAGCCTTTTCGAATATTTAGGCTGAGGTAGGCTAGCGTGCATCTCACCTTATGGAACCGATCGCTGTCACTTATGGACTACGAGCAAAATGTGCTTTTCTACGCTATTACACCCACGAAAATGCAGCAGAGCTCAACTGTATACCATTATCTTGACAGGGCTGACAAGTAGGTGCCTTACGTTTCTTTCAAGCTTGTTTTTCTTCAGGAAGGAAGAGGTCCTCCTCACGATATAGTCATTTTCAGACGCTCCGCCACCGACGTCGCTGGAGAAACCGCCAACTGCCGTCAGCCGAATCGAGTACATGATGAGAGAAATGTCGCAGAATAAGAATCGCAAGGCACCATTAGCTCCAGTCCGTGAGAATCCAAAATCCTCAGCTAACAGGCCCATAAGGTAAGCTTCGTGTATTGCGTTGTATTTCGTTGCAAGGTGAACCATCCACTGGTAATTTATCAACGAGGGGGGGGGGGTGTCGTATTTGGATTTTTGAATGAGCGATGGGGACATGGGGTCGTACGTGAGATTTGCAGCGGTGGTTTTGGAGATAATTGTAGGGGTCGGGGGAGCTTGTGGAATTTATAAAAAATTTTCCATTCCGTTTGTGATACCATTCCTCGCGAGGCCTGCCGTTCTGGATTACCCAGACCTAGTACTTCAGTTGAGCAGTAAAGTAATACGCGAAACTAAAGACAAAAGGATCCACTTACATTACTGCGTTTCAGAATCAGGTTTATGGCCGGAATATGCTCCAAAGTTAAGCTGGACCCGAAAGAATTTGAGGGATAGACCATTAGTCACGGATGGCTACAAAAAGAGTTTGCGCTCAATACTGGGTACACTTTCTATGTTTTGCTCAAGTGAGGTACCAAAGGAGGTTTAGATCAGCTGCAAAATGAATCACCTCTTCCCCCGAAAAATCTTTCAATTATGCACAAATCACAATCTTGCACAAATTTTATGCTGCACATATTTTTTCTTCTTGATGCATTAACTTACAAACGTAATGAGATCGAAGCAACCCACGACAGAAAAGGAATCAATTATACTGGCCTCACCCCCTTGAGTGGGATAGGTTTGGCTCCATAGGAAACGGACTGGAATATCTTATCCGTTCACCAGTCACCTGTCTTAGCGCAATACAAACTCGCTTGGTCGCCATGAACACAGGGCAGAAAACAACAGCAGCACATTACGGGGTGCCGCAGCTCCTTAACTGTGGCATTGTCTTAAAATCGCAAAATCGTCACTTCCAATAACTTCCGAGGAATCTGAAAAAAAAAACAGAAGCTCACTCGACGTCACCTAGCAAGTGGTGGCTTTGTAACTGATTACTCGGCTATTTCTTCATGTTGCCTTACCGCCAACCCAACGGTAATACCACCGAAGAGGAACAATGGATTTCAATGGCTTGGTGCGATATGAATGCGGATTGATATAGTTTGATCACAATAAGCCCCATAAATTTTGACAGGCCTCAGCAGCTGAGTTCTTTGAATCAACAGCAGGAGAATCAAAATAAAGAACGCAATTTTAAGCGTTCCATTTGTGGGATGTTCAAACTATAACAAAATCACTAATCATGAGCATCAGGGAAATCGGTTCAGGTTGTAGAGTAAGTTTGAAGCCCAAAGCTGATAGAATTCAACAACTGTCATGTTATTAACCTATATTTACGCTTAGTAAATTCCATTAGGAATAACGTTTATCAACTAATAAGTACGTTACGAATACTGACCATACCTCTTTCGAATTGCACATTTCAGGAAGAATAATGTCCGAGAACATCATTATTTAGGTCGTCGACGTAAGACAGCCGTCCAGTTTCGACCGGCGATTCGACGACCTCGCGAGAGAAAGTCGTCGTCAGCTGCGGATAGTTACATCAAAGGTTGTTTCAGAAGCTAACAGGAGATATTTCCTCGGTTTATTTGTACAATTATAGATATTTGCAAATTTTGCTCCGCCCAAATTCGCATTAAAGGCAAAGGCGGTGTCAATAAGGGGGTTTATGTGCGATTGAACTGTATGTAGAGATGCGCGAAGTGGAACGACAGTGGAGAAAAAACTGAGAAAAACCGTCGACAAGGCCGTTAACAAAACCCTCTTTCCCACTAGCAGTGAAGGAGGCTGTCTTGGGGAAGAGGCACGTACAAACAAGTTTTCTGGAGATGTCAGTCGTTCTATCGGTTGATACGGCAATCAACCTAGTTGTTTCACACGTTATGCCAGCCACGCACCACTTCCGGAGGTGGGCGGTCCCGGATTGACGAGGCGGTCCCGGATTGAACAGGCGGCCCCGGATTGAAACCGACGCCCCGGGGCCTTAACGTTTTTCAAGGTGGGAAAGTTGCTGCAATGTGTGCAGCTACCCACATACAACCTCCAGGCACGGGAATTACTTCTCTAGCGTGCCTGAGCCCGACCTTTGCCTTTAAGAATCCAAAATGCTCAATACTTCTCGATCGTTTTTTGCTGAACTATCCTTTTGCAAGCTTAGTCATTAAGTCACTTATATCGTATTAGCTTGGGAGAAATGCTGCATTCATCATACTTGCTCCATGACAGGGCCTTACAGGTGCACGCTAAGAATTTTACATGGTCGGGAAAGGCCAGTGTTATGAAAAAAAAGCAAAAAAGACAAGCCAGAATTTTACGATACCGTTTAATTCAAGAATTTGTTCAGGCCTATCGACACCGGACAAGTGCCGACATCCTCTTTACAAGAGCTGCCTTTCCATAGTCCAGGGGCAACTCCAGTGAGTAATAGGAAATTCCCAGAGAAAGTACCATTTCGACGTGAGTGAGCTATCCAAGTCTGACCCGTTTTATTATGTGATTACTATGCAAGAATTTCAGTTTACGATCAACTCCCGGAGAAGATGAAAGTGGAAAGAGTGCGTCAGCTGGAACGGGGTTACAGTATGGAGACACATGATCGGCCAACGTATTCAGAAGAAATGCGCCGTCTGGCAGAGGAAAGGAAGCGCGATGAACGCGAAAGGGTGGCGTCGAATGAAGAAGCCGAAAATAGAAAATCGCGCATTCAACGACAGCCACCAGTTCATCTGACACGAATCAGACCGCCTTCTTATGTCATTCAGCGGAAAACGGTAATTTATTTGATTTGATTGAAATTCGTCAAGCTACAGTAGGAGAGAAAGATTCAGTACCCGTAATAATCCAAATGTACAGTATCACGCAGCAGAGGCAGCGAAAAAATTAGGTAGTTCAAGAAGTTGAAAACGATGCTTTCTTCTTTCGTGATGAGCTAATCTATGTCTTCCATGCTTGAATGCTTGATAGGAGGCGTTTGAAGAAACAACGCTTTCTGTAGTATGGTGAATTATCGTAGTCAAGTGAAGTAACAGTCATCGGTTTATATGCGAGTGCAAATCACAGAGCATCCCGGCCGGACACTAGTCAATGTTCTGTAGTTTGGACAGGTAGTTATATGTAGTTTGGAAGGCATTGCTCGAACCATGAGCATAACCAAAGAGCGTGTCAAAGGCGGATTTTACTTTCTGTAAATGGCCGCCAGTTGCCAATGAGAGCAGAGCTGTTCCAAAGGTGCTGCAGATAAGGAAAAGACAAGAAAAACGGCCTAGAACTCCAGAGAAATGACCCTTTTTTGCTCTTGAGTTATCGCTGCGAGCCAGATTTAGACGAGCTTGTTCGTTTCTGTTGATCCCGATAGCCGGTATAATGCCGGCCAACATCATCTTTTGATAGATGACACCGGCTGAAAATATCAAGAGGTACAGTTGTTTGAAGCGGAAATATCCTTTCAAAGCGAAGAGCAAACAAGATATAGCAGCAGCATTCGTAATTGCTCAGCC